GGATTTACTGAATCCACCTACCTTATTCATCTTCAAATTTTAAATTAAAGAAACAAATTATTTCTTGAGTTATTTTATTGTTTCCACCTATCTGCAAAAAGCCAATATAAATCTGTTCAGTAAAACTGAGCAAGAATTGAGGTAACCTTGACCATGAATCTGTAACAATTACGTTACATAGATAACTATGGTTTTACTGACAAGAAATGTACGGCAATTCTCTTGTAAGTGATGAAACACATCACTATCAGTGTTGATGAGTTGCAAAAGGAAAACTTTGATTAAAATTCAGTGGTCTATTTTAGCACGCGCAACTATGCAGGACTTGCACTTGAATGCTCCTTGAAGTACTGACACTGATGTGATGAAGAAGTGCATTCTGAAATAGAGAAAACTGAGAATCGAGCAGGCTGGCAATAAGACTGCCAAGAAATTGACACCTTTCATGACTCAGGCCCATTGACCCAATAAACTAAATGAGAGAAATTGCTTTCAAGAAAAAAAATATATTCTGAAGGCAATCAGAAAAGTAATTTCCCCCACAAAGTTCATATCTGTTCTTTTGTGTTCAAAATACTGAAGAATAATTGAAAATCTCCTATTAAGCCTTAATTCTCTCACCCTGACTTTTATATACAATACTGAAACTCAACCCTTTCTGGGCCACTTATCTATGTAAACAGTTTCCTCTGAAGAATAAAATAATAATTTCTACAATTTTTATATTTTTTAACATTAAAATCCACTTCTTTTAACGCTTTCACTAAGCAATGCAAGCTACCTCATTTTCCACATTATTCCTCCAGTCCCAATTCAAATTTAATTCTTCCTGTATTTAATTTATAAATTTGAATTATTTTTCACTGGTTTAATAATTCTGGAATGCAAGATATATGTTATCTGCCATGCCTGATGAGTCATGTTTGGATTGTCTAACCATTTTCAGCCAAGTAAACTAAATGTGGTTTGTTATCTCTACTTATCTTTGATTGTAAATTCCTCAGGGCAGTGACTGAGACCTCAACAAGGTATTGAAATATGCTAAGCAAACAACAGTAGTTGACCTGTCCAGTAAATTTCCATGACTTCACTGACAAACATATTGCCAAACTGTTTTCACTACAATAATTGCCAGTCAACTAGCAAAGCTCACGAACTTCGTATCAGCTTCAGAAGCTGATGTAAATTTAAGAAGCATATTGAAGCTGTACGATAACCTAAGTAACATAACACAAATCCTACTGGACACCAAAATAGTAAACATATTTGCACCAAATCACTGGTTGGGGGGATTAACCAAACATATTCTTTCTTGGCTATCTTCCATACACTGATGAGATGTTCTTTCCATCTTATCTCAATACACTTGTGGAGACATACAACACGAAGAACAGCTGTATTGCTAATCAGTAACATACCTGTGTAAAGCACTAAAAGCCTCAACACTTCCCTGAAGCCCACACGGATGTGCCTGTGCCAGCCAGATAAGAAATAGGCCAAAAGGACAAAGATAAACTTGTTGGCCTCCAAGACTGTAGCATAGTTTTTGTGCACTGCTACAGCTCAGCAAGGTATTCGATACAGATACACTGCTACATTTGACATAGTGATGAAAGGTGGTTCCTTCTTACTGAAACTCCTCTCAATTTTTTCCACTTTCCCATGGCTGCAGTCAAATCAAGTTGTAGGAAGCCTAAGTCTTCACATTCTGGCATTTCATTATAGCTAAACTTAATTTGGAGCAAAGTAGCTTACCAATGAGTTAATGGGATTTGAAAATACAGTTGAGTTTGTTACACTGTCAGATTGCATTCTGTAGCAATCATATGGTACCCATACGTTCCTCAAGAAAACAAAAAAACAAAAAACCAAACCAAAACAATCAAACAAGAAACTTTCTACTTCAATGATAATTCTACAAACTGAAATCAACAGAAATTATATACTAGAAATTTGATATGCTCTTAATTCCCTATTTGGGCAAGGAACACTGACAGTGGTTTGCCCTTTATTTTTTTCAGATGTATATTTGCCTTTTCAGATACGTATTTGCCTTTTCAGATACTTGGGAACAGAATTGGGGTACAGCACATTTGCATATTTTAATCAAATTCTAGAAAATTAAATAACTCAATTATTTTACAAATAAGATCACTTACATTAATTGAAAGCTCTCAAACACTGTGTGCAAAAGCCATCTGGAGCACTTATTAGTGGATAGACAATTTTTATTATACTGATTAGAGCAAGATATCACTGGACACAGTATGCAGAAATTCTTAGATGCCAGAAGACCTCATTTTGTTTGGTAATGATGTTTTTCTCCATTTTTGGGAGAAAGAGAAAAGTCAGGAAATTCAATTTAACTTTGGAAACCTTTCATGCTGTTTACTGATTCCTGATGTGTATAACAAATCATTTACAGTTCAACTTCCAAAAACATGTTACAGTCACATACATTGCTTGATAAATGTTTAACCTCCAGCCTCTCTGCCTCTCCACCTACCTTGTTTTGAAATGTTTTCATTATTTCTCATACAATGATAACATAAGTATAGGCAGAACTAAGTTGATTCCACACATCTAGTAAAAAAATCCCAAAAAACATGCATGGAATACTTGTAAATCACAGGTTTTATTATTTAAGAGAACAATCCTGCCTTGCTCCTAAACTCGTAACATAGATAGCAGTTAATAACAACTAGAGAACTGAATGCACTATGAGGCCTCTAGGAATACACACACAGGTGAATGGGTATCCACAAAAAGGACCACAGATCCTATACATAGAAATGACTGTATAGTAATTTGAAGAAGTCTGTTCTCAAACATTTTTTAAATCAAATTCAAGCAAACAACAGCATTTACTCTCCAGTTTGCAAGATTCTATTTTTTCAGTCTGATAGTGATATTTTGAAAATAAAATATGTTCATTTTCCTCCTTTGTAAGACACGAAAACTCAGTTGCTGGCTGCTTATGAATAGTGGGAGTTCCTTTTCATATTCAAAAAAACTGAGGTAATACAACTATGTTTACTTTTCAGCCTTATATTCTCACGACTTGTTGTTTTGACTTAAAGATTAATTGCTTTTTTCTGCTCTATGATATATCAAGATGTTATAAGTATATAACACACATTTTATTACAATAATTTGTTTTTCTGTGATGTAGACAGTGACCTAGAAAATTTTGAGTGCATGAAGACATTATTTCATCTAAATTTTGATTGCTTATTTCCAAGACTTCAAAATATTCTATATTCTATAATATCCTAAATACTAGGACTTTAAGAGTCCTTCATTTTCTTCTGAATATTTGCACTAGTTTTGTACAAATGAAAACAGTCAGATCTCACAAACAAACAAATAAGATACAAAACTCCCTTTTTTGGCCACAAGAAAACACAATTATTCCTGAATTTTCCAACTGAATAGTCTAAAAAAAGCAGTAAAGCAGTGTGGCAGAACATGTATTAACATCTTATAATATTAAAAAAAAGGCCCATGGCTCTTTGGTTGCCTCCCAGCTCTGTTCAAAACAATACCTAACTAAGCCTTTTTCGGGAGTTCTTAAATTAGATGACCTAGCAGATATTCTGTGTAGCTCTTTCTGGAGAGCAGTGCTCCCAGCCATTTTTGGTGCCTCCCAGTTGTGTTTCCCTTGGTAGATGCACCAGCCACTCACGTGCTCAACAAGCCATTATGCTGGAGATGCTCTAAAATGGTGTGGATGAAAATCTGGGGTTTGGGCAAAATAGTTTTGTGAGGCTGACATTCTCAAAGACACACTGGTACACGAAGTGCAGACTAGTATTTTCTTGTGAAGTTTGCACTATATCTCCATGATGAAGGAGTTTTAAAGATCAGAAAATGTATTTGTCGGTGCACATGAAATTCCACTCTGATTGGCCAGAGAGAGATCTGTTTGGTTGAATGAAATACAACACAGCAAAATTCACACAGATATAAACACTTATGAAAGAAACCGTTCTACCTTGAGCAGAGGAATTAGGTAAAACCCTCAATTAACTTCCAAGTGGAGGGAGTGGGCAGTAACACATGGGGGAAACCACCCACCCAAAGAAACCCTATCAGCCTTATCTTGAAAAAATTTTGGACAATTAAAAACCAATAATACTTGTGGGGGAGTATTTTGTTTCTTAACATCAAAACAAAATATTTTTTCCTCATAGAAACTTTTACTCTGTGTTTTGATGATAAACCTTATCCTTGATTTTACCTTTGGGCTAAAATACGCAAAAGTTTTTCATCATCTTTTGTGTTCTTTCACGGTGCATTATCTAAACAGACACCTCATTGCTCAGAGTGCTTATGACTTCTAACCACAAAACAAAGGGCAAAAAATTAGTTATATGTATTTTAAATAAATCATACTAGAACGCAGTGGTAATGAAAGTTACTGAAATTCTGTGTCATCCAGGATCTGACTAATTACAATAATAAAACATATAGCAATAATTTGCAGCTATAAATTGCTAGGTTACCTCTAACATTCTCTTGGATTTTGCAGAACAATTTATTTTAGCAAAGAAAAGTTAAAAAAATGCACCTACACCGCCATCTTGTGGAAAGTATCCATTTTCCATTTATTGAATTTTGCTGGATCAAACACCATTTCAAAAGGAAATTTCCATTTTCTTTAGTGTGCTGCTCTTAGCTATCAGACACGTAAACTTTTATTTTTTTTTTAAATAGGATAGTATTAATTTAACTTCAACTCATTTTCCTACTTTATAATATAAAAAAGATGAGATAGATTCTGCACTGAACTTGTAGTTCAAAGTACAACTCAGATAAAACCAGCATCTTGGAGAGAAAAAATCACATTACACTGAATACATCTCAGTGATCAATTGAAATATTCTTGTTTTCCAGAACCAGATTTGTACAGTCTCCCTTTTGAACACATCTTCTTACCTGCAGTGAGGCCACCAATAAAATCTATACATTTCTCACCCTCAGAGGAGCTGTCACGGAGCAGAATTCATGACCAGAGTGGGACTAGTGATTCTGTGAATATGAAGGAAGCACTTCATCATCCTTTCCAGGTTAAAACACACTTCCTTTCCAGTGTAGCCTGTAAGAACCACAAGGTATTTATTTTTCACACAGGGCTGGTAAACAGCCATTAATCAGTTACAATTAGTGTTATATAAGGTAAACTCAGAAAAAGGATAAGAACTTGCCTAATTTTTCTATTTTCATTAAATGCTTTATATCAAGATAGATAATTTTGAAGGAACCACCCATAAAATTCAAAAAAGCAAAATACCATAACACAGGGTACAAAACTCCGCAGTATGAACAATAACTGCAGCAAAACTACAGTTGGGATACAAGTCTGGAGTTTTGCAAATGTGCTCTGATGCCTCTTTTATGGGCTGTCAGTTTGATGTATTTAAAAAACATGTACTCAAGTCTTTCACATTTTTACCTGGACCTACTCCATCTTCAAGTTAATCTTTCTTATCTGTCTCTATCACACTTCCACAGGTCACTATGCGTATGAATACATCTTTATGCACATCACATTTCCAAACAGGTCTAAAAAAAACACTTTGGCATTCTTGAGCTCAGGAAGATTACACAGCATTTTCTTAGCAGTTTTACTCTATTGTCCCCAGCAGGAAGACTACTGAATTCTAAGATTCTGAATGGCAAAAAGAGAGTCCGTTTCAGTCCTGTTTGCCCTCAAAACACAAACAAGTCAACCTTTGTCCATCAGGTATGGGGCAGAGATTACTTGGCAAAGTGGGGTGGGAGACATGTAACATTTTTTACTTGAGTGAAATTTGCAACAACAAATAAGACCCTCCTTGGTTATGATGAATTACCAGATTCAGAAATCCTCATCTCTCCCTGATTCAGATCCAGTTGTGAGAAACAATAACAAAATTATAGGAAATTTCTATTTAAAAGGTTTATTTTTAAAAAATAAATACTATTCAATTAATAATAAGTCTGATATTCTTCCGCATCTCAAGACTGTGAAGTTATTTTCTCAGAGATATTTTGGGGGAGGTACTGTTGCCCAAGTTAGGTTAATACTCTTATGAGCCTGGGATATTTGGCACAAAAAAAGAGAGGAAAGTGAAGGTAAACCAGATTCTGGGGAAGTTTCAAATGAAGGTAAACCAGATTCTGGGGAAGTTTCAAATGAAGATAGGATAAATCTAGGTGCAAGTGTGAGAAATTCTGAAACCGTCTGTTTATTAAATTTCATTAAATGATAACATGCATGAAAATAATTACTTAATAGAAACATTCAATCTTTTCAAACACATGTACACAAAAATGTGTATGTTTACATTTGGTCTAAGACCAAATATACTGTCTTGAACAATGTCTAACATACTTTACTAGTGTACATAAAAAAGTCTTTGTCAAATAATTTCCACTAGACTGCAGTACTTCAGGCATTTGCAAAATGCTGTCACAAACTAATCCTATTTCTGTGATATAAATTAAATAAGTATATGTTGTCGCTTATATTTTGTCATTGTGTTATCACAAAATAAATGCTATTTTAAGGCTGTTCTAAAGATAAAGGATGAAATTATAAAATAATGTGCTTATGTTTTTGTCACAGTTCTAGTTTTTAGAAAAACAGGTATCTGTCATGGGAGGAATGACTGAATTACAGCGCTCAAAAAACAAAGTTCCTCTCACATGAAATTTGGTGACAGATAACCAACATGCACTAAGAAGGGAACTAACCCAATTCTCAATGAAATTAGAATGTTAACAGAGAGGTTTACATTTAACTGTATGTACCTGTGACAAGTTATTCTTTGAGTTCCTATTCTTTATAAGATGTGATTATTTTAGTAGAGCTCAATATGTTGTGAACATGTGTGTCTGTATTACTGCAGTGATAGACAAACATATAGATACAAAATATATGCACAGAATTAATATTCTTGCCAAGTATTTTGTATTAATTCTCAGTACCAACTGAGAGATATCTAATGGGAGGCTGTCTAACTTTCTGGAAAGTTATTAATCTCTTTTACATACTTAAGGCCATTCATTAATTTCTTCCAGTGTTGTTGAAAATGCAGAAATGTTTTGGAATAATTCAGTGTGTTGATGGTAAATATGCTGCAAGGTAATAATCACTTGGCATATCCTGACAGCAGACCAGATGTCAGTTGTATCTCACCAACTGAGCTGAAAGTAAACTAGAACCATAAAATGCTACTGTGAAAGGTGTCAGCAATGAAAACAACTCAAATAAAAATAGAACTTTTTCCCAGAATTCAGTTAAACCCGAAGAAATTCCACCTTGAATTTAGCTCAGACAAATCTGAAGACTGTCAGAATTCACAACATGCTCCTTAACATATTTGATAGGAAGCATATGACTGGAATGTTTCAAACCTTGGGGATAGGCATACACTTAAATCTACACATATCAGAGGTACCTCACAGGCCTAACGAAACAAGTAAACAAAGAAACAGCCAGAAAACAAACAAAACCCACAAACCATAGATTTTCCACACGTTAATGCCAAATATCCTGGATGTTTTGGTTTGAGGCTCCCAGGAACTAAAAGGAAACTGGTATCCTGAAAACCTAGGGCTACAGCCCAAATTCACCAAAATTGACTCCATTGTCAATTCTTAATACTGACTGTATTCTTAATAGTTTTCCAGTGTTTAAATATCAAATTACTGGTGATGTAATAAGTAGCAGAAACTACGGTTTCCACCTTCAGCTTAGACTCATGGACTCTATGTCTGCTCAACAGTAGAGAATTAGAACCAACCAAAGAAATATTTTGAGATGATAGGTTAACTGTTGTTGCAATAATACTTTCTACTAACTCAGTTAACACAGTTCTCAGAATAACTGTCTGAATTGGAATTTATGGAGAAAATAGGTTTAGGCCCTAAATAATTAATACTTTGTAGGGCATCTCTTAGGGCTCTGCTCTGCAAGACTCTCTCAAGTCTATCAAGTAGCTTGCTTGGCTTTAGAGAATAACAAATTCAGGGACTGCACTCCTCGGTGGTTGCTTACAAAAGTTTGTCTGATGTTAAAAAGCAGGTGCAAAATTTCATGTTCCTAGATATATTTTCTAATATTTTTTGTCAGGCTGTATAAAATGGAAAGTTGATATTATGTAATGAATGTAAGCTGAAAACTAAGTGTCCTTAAAATTAATAATAAAAAACTGCAAGCTATAAGTCAAAACAAATGTCACCCTTCAAGATTTTGACAAAATCACTTCCAATTCAAAGAATGCTTCTCAACCCTCATGCTACCTTTAATTTTTTTTTTTAATTCCTTATTCATTCGTGCAGAGATAATAACAAGGCAGGTTTGTCATGGAAGAAATCTACTCTAAAAAAATTAATTTTCAAAACGAGTATCTCTGTCCAGGTTACTACATTGCCCTTCTTCCAAAGATATTTGAGCCAGGAATCAAGCACAATGCCATCTGTTATGAAAGGTCATTTTTCCTCCTACTTTTAAAACTACTTCAAGACACTTAATGCTTTCCTTTAATTCAGAACAGAATGGAATTAAGTTGCCATGCCACAAAGAGCAAACTGTGACACCTGATTTCAAAGCAATCCTTCAAGACAAGTCCTGACTGCCATGTTTGTATTCAGCTGAAGGAGATTACTGAAAGGCTGGATGACAAGAGCTGCTGTTATACAACCTCAGTGGTCTCAAAACTGCAGAAGGAAACATATGGGTAGCATATCAGCACCGAAAATGGCAGGTCTGCAAATGTGCAACATCCTCCTGATAGCCATTATTATCATATAAGCCCAGTATTCATACATAAAAATATGAAGATCTATTTTTATTGCCTTAGAGCTGGACATCAGAAATCACTTTAATATTTTAGGGCCCTCAACTCAGCATGTCTGAAAGGACCATGGCTCCATGCTCTGTTCAATAAGGATTTGATTTCTCTGTATTATTCAAACATCCACCTTTAAGGGATTTTGTGTCCCTTTTCTCCTCAGTATACTTGCATAATTTCTCACAGATTCTTGGAAACTCATAAAAGTTTTATATATGCGTGTCAAGGTAAGACTAACCACTTTCAGGTAAGTAAAAGTAGTGTCTCTTTTGAAAAGCTGTGGACATCAAGAGAGCTAAGTAATTCTGGGTTGCTTTAGGGCTTTGATTTTGCATTTATTCATACGTGTACCTCAGCTAAATTCCTACTTTCTACATGTTGCTTATATTAGCAGCACACACAATACCTTCAGTGCTATACTCCTGGATGTTGAACAGTTTTTCAGGATGCAGAAACCAATAACCTTCTTTGAAGGATTTACTTTTTAAGCATTCCTCCTAAAAGTTACAATTTTGTTCTGCTGAGATTCCCAAATATAGTTTGAGCCTTCAAATTCTCCTAAATATGACATGAGTGTGGTGATCTTTTAAAGAGAAATTGTATGGTTTATTCAAAGTGATTGGTGCACGAGACAATATTACCACAGACTTCAGTGGTGCAGTATCAGGCTTTAGACAACGTTTATAATGTTCACACCATTAATTAATAGAGTAATTACGTATATCCCACAACGTTAATTTATTTAGACATTATTCAAAAGACATAGGATCAAAAGCATATTTTATGCTTATTAAATATTTAAACTGTCTAACCAAGACACAAGTTTTTATAGACTGAAGTGTTTTTCTTCATATATATTATTCTTTTTTCTTTCTATGCATGAAAATTTCTTTATTTATCTCTCTCCTTTTCAGTACAGCTTGAAACAACAGAAAATTATGAATGAAAAGACAAGAATAGATCAAGCAGCAGCATTTACCCCTGGAAAAAGTTTTCCTTCTGTCTCCCTCCCTTCTTGTTATAATTTCTTCAGGTGACCAGAAAATGTATCACACCAAACAATTACAAGTCTGTATCCCCGAGAGAAATTGCAAACATGCCCCCTGTCTTGTTAATGCACTTCCTTTGAGACAAGGATATTCTCATGCAATAGTGATACATATCAGACACAAATATTGCATAAAAAATAATAGATTAGTTGAATTAAGGGCTGTGTAGGAGCTTGGAGGCTTTAAAGAAAATCCAACAAGCCATTTCCTCAAATAACGGGACTTTGATATACTCTTAAATACCATTCACTTATTGTGTAAGGAATGACCTGCCCCAGACTTCTTTACACATAATAAAAGTGTTAAACTTGTGAGTATTGATACTTATAAATCTTATAAACTTATGCAAGACTGACATGGCCATAAAAATACTGTTCATCCCTAATAAATCACTCCCTTTATTTTAATAGCACTGGCATAAAAACAAATAACAGTTGCCATCTAGATTCACAGTGATGTAACTGAGGTCAGTGCTTGGATCAATGTGTTTTAGTGAATAGTTATTTCTATGCACACTTAAAACTCTGAACCATATAGAATTAATGAGGTTGCAAACAAAGGAGAATAAAGTTCTACTTATAATTTGTCTATATGCCCGATACACGGCACCTGTGCACAAACAGAGAAACTGGTCTCTCTACTGCAGAGCTCCGAGAACTTTATATTTACAGGCTTATACTGAGCAGGGGGAAAGGAAGTGCACAATATGAACCAACAAACTGACTTTCACTACTGTCCTGCTCTGTCTCTGTACAGGCAAGTGACCATTAGACCGCAAAAAAAAAAAAAAAAAAAAAGTATGTTTTCAAGAGGTCTGTTGAATAAAAAGCAGAGGACCCAGTAGCTCAATTCTGGGAAGAAAATTAAAGTCATACTGAACACAGATCAATTCAATAAACATCACAAACTACAAAACACCTTTGAATATGCACCATCAATTGCAGAAATGCTATTGTTTAATTCAGCTGGGGAAAAATATGCTTTGACTGTTTGATGGAGTATTGCATTTCACTTCACGTGGGATAGAGAAAAGAGGACAGAGAAAGCGAAGAAGACCAAAACTGTTTTTCTGTCCATACCCTCTGGTAGGGAACTGGGTATATGCTCTCTACACTGCCAACAGAGGCATTCATATCACATGTCCTTGAAAAAGCCCCTAAAAAGGTATATGTATTTATAGCTTATTTCACTCTCCAGCATTGTACTGCCAAGCACCGCAGGACATGTAGCAGAACTTAAGTGAAACAGAACTGACAAATCCCTTATAAGTGTTCTAACTTAATAGAATCATGCTGCTGTGCCACCAAGAAGGTCCTCCCTCCATAGGTTTACTGTCCAATTCCACTATTGCAACAAACAAATGGAATTCACAATGAAGAATGCAACTGACTTTGTTATTTCACATCACTTGTTAGATTCTGAGCTTGTTTTGAAAGCCTCTACTTTTCCTTCTTGTATCCACAAAGCACATAAGGCAACGAAGTCTGATGTATTTAAAGAAATCTGAGAGCACTCTTGGAAGAAAAGGAATGCACATGAAATTATGATTTCTGGAATACTTCTTTTTGTAACCAAATCAAAACTTCTCTGCATCTTGATAAACCCATCTTGCCCAGAATTTTCTTCATACATCTAGAAAAATCTCTGTAAACTCACCTCTCACATGTGGAACAAGAGAACAGCAAGCATCAATTGCGTTCAAAAACAGTTTTGGAAAAAGATAAATGCCATTACTTTTGCTCTCAAGTTTACACATAGGATCATGGTATGTCTGGGATTACCATGCCACGGACTCAAAACACTGCATAAAATGTTTGCCACTTCTTCACAAAATTCATTTTGTTTGTATAGAAAACCAAACCAACAAACTCAGACCTTCAGTGGTCTCTCACCAAGCTGATATGCACCACTGCACACCAGTTTCTCTCAAGTTGGAGGATTCCACAGAATCTCCAAGGACAAACTATAGAAGGAGGCTTGAGTTAAAACGCTGGCAGCACATAAATCTGCCTTTTTAATGGCAACCACTTTACATTGTTTAGCACATTTAGCAGGATTTAAGGATGAATCTAATACAGTCACAAACTCTTAGAAAAAGTCTGTGAGGTAGAGGGGGGAAAAAATGGTGAGGGATGAAATATATAGTCACTGCCAACAGGTCTTGAGCAAGTACTGCATGAGCAAGTGAAAAAAAATCTAGTGACTGTGAAGAGCTTGATGACAGCTCTGGGTCTGCTTCCCTTATTTAACTGTTTCCACTTATATTCACCTCTGCATCTGTTATATATTTAGGAGTGTTTTTATCACTAGCTTTGGATCTATTGAAGCAGGTGAGCACATATTCAAAAGACAATTAAAAAGAAAATAAGACATTAAAAGAATACATTAAATAGTTCAGAGAAAAGTAGAAGAACAAAGTGTGCTCTTTGCAAAGAAAGGCATCCACATTTTAACTGAGTTTATGCCATTTGAATGTAGACAAAATTAATAAAATAGTTTAATTTTAAATGAAATCAGGGGAATGAAATTTGATGCATATAATCTCTATTGGCAAGGACTGCTCAAGAAGGATAACAGCAAATACAGACACATACCACCTGCAAGTATCTATCATACAATGATCTTCCTTAAGTAGCTTTCTCCCATCTTTCCACCCTTCTACTTTAAGCAATTATTTAAAACTCACTTTATAATCTTACCTGTTTTCCTCTGTATTTATGTGCTGACAGAGGTCCCAAGTTAGAAAAGCACGTGGTATGCACTTGAGATCCAAGTGCATAGTGGCAGGGAGAAGTGTTAATTCCCCGCAAAATGCCTTTCTGAATATGAACTCTTTGGCCAAGGGTGATGAACTTATGCTTTTGTTTTCAAGCTGTTCTTGGAGGGAAAAGGAAAAAAAGAAAAAAGTAACCCACAGACTTGTCTCCAAAGTACTTAATATCTTATGATTCATATGTAAATAGGGTTTTGGTGGGTGTTTTTTTAATATATAACCTTACTTTAATACCTTAATTGCTGGGTAGGACAATAGGCAGCTATATGTTTGGGACTATATGGAAAAGTGTTAAAATAAATTATGACAAATAATTTGCTTTGTACTGCTGAGACTACTTTGAAGGACTTCACCGTTCAATAGATTGTAATTGCACATCTAAAAAGTTTAGAGGTGCTGCAGAACCACTTACGCACTTGACCAGCTCCTCCCTTAAAGGAATACAAAGGAAACCAAAAATCTGTATTAAAGTGCAGTTACATGATACATTGTCTTGTCTTCAGACAGTAAAGCCAGTTTAAGATGCTCCCATGCATTTCCTCCCTGACCCCAGCTATTCCTTCCCTCCTTTAAGCTGCTCCCTGGTATAAGCTAATTACATAAAACTGACTAAAAAAGAAACAAACCCAAAAAAACAAACAAACAAAAAACACAAACAAACAAAAAAACCAAACACCAAAAAAAAAAAAAAAAAAAAAACAACCAAAACGAAAAATCTTCTTTGCAGTTCAGATGTTCTAACTACAGTAAAATATCTCTATTTTTGATTTTTTTTTGATTACAGATGAAAACACCCTCCAAATTACAAGTACCTACATGTTACTGGAAGGAAGACACTTCCCTTTTAAAACACCCATGGTGATGATGTTTATAAAGTAATCCAGAGGAAATTGTCTGGACCATAATGACAAAAAATCCATGAAATTCTGGTCTAGGCATCAGGGAGCTCACAGAGAGGCAGTTTATATTCCTTTTGGTTTGCCAGGACTACTTACCTTGTAACTGTATATATGATGCAATAAGAAGCATAAAGTTGTGAAGGGCGGGGGGAGAGGGGGGGGAACCAACCAAAAAACCCACTTCTTATGTGAACTACAGATTGGTGGTTAAAACAGCCCCTGAAAGGGAGTCACATATTTGCATTCCTACTGCTAAGCCATAACACAAAAGGCAAGTCACAGAATCACAGAATCATTTAGACTGGAAAAGATCATTGAGTCCAAACAATGACCAATCACCACTTTGTCAATTAGTCCTTAAACTAAGTACCACATCCAATCATTTCTTGGACCCTTTCAGGGATGGTGACTCCCCCACCTCTCTGAGCAGTCCATTCCAGTGTTTAACAACCCTTTCCATGAAGAAATTCCTTCTCATGTCCAAGCTGAACCTGCCCTAGTGCAACTTGAGGCCATTTCCTTTCATCCTCTGTTAGTTGTCTGGGAGAAGAGGCCAACCCACTCCTTGCTACAATCTCCTTTCAGGTAGTTGTAGAGAGCAATAAAGTCTCCCCTGAGGCTCCTTTTCTCCAGGTGAAACAACTCCAGCTTCCTCAGATACTCCCCCTATGACTTACTCTCTAGACCCTTCACCAGCTTTGCTGCCCTTCTCTGGACAGGACCCAAAACACAGAACGCAAGGTGCAGTATCATCCGTGTCGAGTACAGGGGGACAATCACTTTACTAGACCTGCTGGCCACACTGTTGCTGACACAGGCCAGGATGCCATTGACCTTCTTGGCCACCTGGGCACTGCTGGCTCATGTTCAGCCACTGTCAACTAGCACTCTTGGGTCCTTTTCCGCCAGGCTGCCTTCCAGCTACTCTTCCCGCAGCCTGTATCACTGCAGGGGTTGTTGTGACCCAAGGGCAGGACTCAGCACTTGGCCTTGTTGAACCTCAGACAGACAATGGCCTTGGCCCACTGATCCAGCCTGCCCAGATCCTTCTGCAGAGTCTTCATACCCTCCAGAAGATCAACACTTCCACCCTCTAGTGTCATCTGCAAACTTCCTGAGTTTGATCCCTTGATCCCTTCATCCAGATCACTGATAGATATTAAGCAGGATTGGGCCCAGTACTGAGCCCTGGGGAACATCACTAGTGATCATCCCACAGCTGGATTTAGTCCCATTCACCACCACTCTCTGGGCCCAGCCATCCATCCAATTTTTAACCCAGTGATGAGTGCACCTGTCCAAGCTGTGGGCTGACAGCTTTTCCAGGTGAATATCACGGGAAACAGACTTTGCTCAAGTCCAGGTGGAGTACATCCACAGCCTTCCGCTCATCCAATCCTGCCACCAATTTTACAAGCAGATCAGCGCAGTAAGTGGACTCCAAGGACATCTATCAGACCAAGTCTCAAGGAAATATGTGTAAATGAGCTGGTTGGGTTTGGATGCTGACTATTTGAAATGCTTCTCAGTACTGTTTAGAACTGGACACAAAGAGATGTTCAAGTTTGTGGAGCTCTAGACTATATGAATTTTAACTTTTATGTTTCTTTTGAGTTCTGGTGGCTTTTGAAAGAGTTTTGTGCTTAGCCTTCCTAATGTAAGTTGATGCCAACTTTTTTCAAACTTAGTTTAATAACTCCTTTGAACACTCCTGTTACTTTAATTTATAAAGCAACATATTTGTCCATATTCAGATACAATATATCAGATAAACCACAGCTAATGTTACTAAAAAAATGTAGATGCATGTTTTCTTAAAAATAATCATCACATGGAAGAGAACACATGAGGATTTAATCAGCAAAAACATTTCAGTTCTTGAAAAATATAGGAATAATAAACACACATGTCAAGAAGAGCAAGGCATCTATAAGCATAGAATTCTAAGAAATAGTAGAAAATATTTCTCTCTGATACCATTTTCCAACAGTCTACAATGCTGCAAATGATGTCAATGCTCGTCATTTTGTCCAAACTACAGTCACAATGTGAAATTAAAAGTACAAACCATGATGAGATGATGAGGTATACTATCAAACTAATTTCCCACTGACATGTGAGCATGCTAGCCTCACAAAAGAAATTAGATTTGTTTTCATTTCTGTCACATATTTGGCATATTTACAGATATTTCTGTAACATTAAATTCGTCATATTTAACAAAAACAACAGCTTGCTAATTGCTGAGTTTGGGAAACTAAAACACTCAAACTACCGATAGATAGTTTATAGTCATAACATTAATATATGTATTTATATAAATAAATAATAATATATAGAATAATAGAATAATAGTAATATTCAGCCTACATGGCCAGAGTGGGTCTAACCCAAATCAAAGCATGCCAAGTAGAGCCACATTGGCAGCAAAGGAGTAAGACCTATTCATAGCACAAATTAGGCTAAGGGCAGAAAAGGATACAGGGAGAGGAGCCAAGACAATGCATAAATGAGTAATGGGGATTTAGGCAGTAGAAAAGAAGATAGTATAGTCTGTTTAGAGACAGATTTGTCAACTTTCAGTAGTTCACTCTAATACTTGAAAAAATTTGGTTTTCTCCAGAACATATTTAGGGAGGCAGACAAAAATAATGCATCATAGTGCCACAGAAAAAAAATAAATGAAAAAATCAAATATGTAACTTTCATTTGTTTTGTGAAGCTTTTACAGAAGAAGTTTTACCCTTCTCAAGAAAGTTACAAAACCTAATTCTGCTGACAGTCTTAATAGAATCTGCTTGCCCCTTTTGTGTAATCGTAATTGATCACCTTCACTTTTACATGCAAAACATTTCACACAGCTGCAGAAATACTGGAAACACTTGATGCTTTCAAGTTCCTGAAGGTATTTTAAACATGTATATCTCAAAATCCCATTTTATAGAGAAAAGAGCTTGAATAGAAGAGATTATCCCAAGACATATTTGTTTCTCATTCATGAAGTGATCAATTTTTCTTAGTCAAAATATCCAAACACATGAATGGACACCTCTAAACGGTGACCTTATGATTAAATCTTCAACATTCTGCTGCATGGAAAGACTAGCACTATATTCTTAACAGATGTAGTGCTGGAATGGTTTTATACTCTTCAGAGAAATTGCAGAGTATGATTTATCACCCTAACTCCAGTGAAATGATACTGAATGGAGTGCTGTCAGTGACGAACAACAATTCCAGCTGACTGAACTTTTCTAAAGAAAGCAAAAGATGGAATCATTTCACTATTTTACAATTTGGAAAAGCAGCCTGGAGTGCTGAAACCTCCTAGAATTTCTATAATTAGTGGTCTTCTACTATCTACCTTAAGCAAGGGAATTACATCATGTAGATTATGGGATCTGAGGCCACACACACTGTAATTTTCACCATCTCTGGAGGAGGATTTAAATTTGAGTACAAATTTATGCAGACACAAATTTTCTAAATTACATAACATTACTATACAAAACCACTCGAAGTTAGATGTTTTCAAATCCTTGCAACTTGAAACCTAGATTTCTAACATACTGAGTCTGAATCTGCCACAAGAAAAAGCTAAGTACAAGGTAACTTTCTATGAGATATTTCAACTGAGAAATAAACCAGTTTCCAAGTCCATGACTGGTGTACATAACCTGTGAGGATTTAAAATCTGCACATACTTATTCTAGTGAAATAACTTCCAGGAGGACTTGAGGTCTTTACTTTCAATACCAGATCAGCAGAAAATAAAGAAGCAAACCTTGTTCACATTACTATAATATCTCTCAAATGCTTTAAAACTTGACTGTTTTTTTCTTAAAGGAGAAAAAGTAATTTCCTTCATTAAAGAACAAATACTTAAACTTATTCCCCCTCCCTTTATTTTTTGACATTTTAATATTAATATTTGAGGGGTTTAAGTTCTAGTCAGCATTGCATTAACTGTTGCTCTAACAAGTATTAATGCAGTTCCTGTCTTTCCTCTGAAGAGCTATAAAAACACAGTGCTTTCAAAATTTAGGTAAGGATATAAATCTCAGCTCCAGGTGTTCCTGAATTACTTTCCATAATCTGAAATGAAACTAGTCTTGACCAACTCTGAATAAAGTTTGAATGCAGTATAGATTTGAACTAAGTTAAACTACCAGAAGAATGAGTATGTAAAACAAACCAAAACTTACTGACATATGTACTTTCTGGAAGGCATGTTAAATGATCTTTAAAACCAGATTTGAAAATCCAGCTGTAAAGGGGTATGCAAAAGTGATTAATGAGTGTTGAACACCATCCAGATCGCATACTTGTAGGAACTACAGCAAGCTAGTAAAAATTCCACCCTGAAGTGACAATTCAATTTAAATTAGAACTTGCAGTTTTTCTTCTAGTTTAAGTCAATAGTAATTCTATGGTTGCCATATACCAGAAAAACTTGCTTAGTAAGAGTATAAAACAGCTCAGCACAACACACATAAACAATGATCTTTTCAGTGAGTAAAGAGTGCACTACTTCTTCACTGCCAACCCTAACACTAATCCTCCTGAGTCTGTACCCCTAATCATATTTCTACTTTCAATGAGTTTCTGAATGTCTCTTCTATCCCCCAACCACCACCACTAACTAGAAAATCCTCCCTCATTATTTTGACTGATTGCTTCAATTAGGAAGTAATTCAGTCAACTCACATTATGTTGTATGTTTTAATTCCAGGAAGGTAAAGGTTCACTGATATACTTCAGGTTTACTTAATTAGAAGGAAAATTAACTTAAATGTTCTATAGAAACAGTACTGGATTAGACTGCCTGACTAATGCCCATAAGCTGTTTGCACCAGCCAAGGCCTTCCTTGCCAACCGTGTCCTGGGGGACATCAGGCAAAGCATCACCAGTCGGTCGAGGAATGGGATTGCCCCGCTCTGCTCTGCACTGGTGTGCCCTCACCTTGAATATCGTGTGCAGTTTTGGGCACCACAATAGGAAAGACATTAAGCTACTAGAGAGCATCCAAAGGAGAGCAGTGAAGATGGTGAAGGGCCTGGAGGGGAAGCCATATGAGGAGTGGCTGAGGTCACTTTTTACTGTTAAGTCTGGAGGAGACTGAGGGGAGACCTCATCGCAGTCTACAACTTCCTCATAAGGGGAAGAGGAGGGGCAGGCACTGATCTCCTCTCTGTGGTGACCAGTGACAGAACCCAAGGGAAAGGCCTGAAGTTGTGTCAGGAGAGGTTTAGGTTGGATATTAGAAAAAATGTTCTTCACCTGGAGGGTCACTGGGTACTGGAACAGGCTCCCCAGGGAAGTGGTCACAGCACTAAGCCTGACAGAGTTCAAGAAGTGTTTGAACAATACTCTCAAGTCCATGGTATGACTCTTGGGTATGGTCCTGTGCAGGGCTAAGAGCTGGACTAAGTTGGCTAAGAGGGATCCTTGTAGGTCCCTTCCAACTTGGCATATTCTGTGATTCTGTGACCACAGATGGCTTTCTCTGGTTTACAAGAAGCTCAACATTAGCCAGCAATGTGCACTGCCAGCCCTGAAAGCAAGCATGCCCTGGGCTTCATCAAAAGCAGCCTGGCCAGCAGATCGAGGGAGGTGATTCTGCCCCTCTATTCCACTCTTGTGACTTCCCACACTGAGTTCTGCTCTGAGATCCCAGTGTAAAAAGATGTGGACCTGCTGCAGCAAGTCCAGGAGAGGCCACAAGACTGACCACAGGGCTGGAGTACCTCTCCTATAGAGAGAAGCTAGTGAGAGTTGGCTTGTTGAGCCTGGAGAAGAAATGCCTCCAAGGAGATCTTATAGCAGCCTTCCAATACCTAAGGGAGCCTGAAACAGGTCTGGAGAGGGACTTTACAAGGACATGGTATGATATGAGAAGGGGGAATGGTGGTGGTGGTGGGAGGGTGTTTATAAATCATACAGTAGAATAGGTAAAATAATTACATTAAGATGTTTATTGTAACCAATTTTGGGTCTTCAGTCAGTTCTATATTTAGAAATGGATTTACACACTCCTCAGCAATTAGCAGAATTAAAAAATTTTCAGTGAGAAAAGTGTTTTATGTTGAAAATTGACATATTTTTCTATTGTTTAAAATACATTTTTATTAACACGTCTGAGGAAGATGACAAAACTTATATGTTACTTAAGTTGGTTATTTTGCATCAGCAAAGATATGAATTCACCACCTACAGGAACAACCACTCCAAAAAAGTTTGCCAGACACATGACAGAGTTGAACTATTTTCTTTTCTGAGTATAAGGGAGACTAGTTCTTATGTCATTAGGAAGCAAGTCAGTAAATGCTATCAAGTTTTGAACAACTCAATATAAGAAGAGGTCACTGTTAAAGTAAGTCCTTGTTCAAGCTCTTTCATCAACATCAGAACATTGCAAAGCCCCTTAGCACACAGAAGTACAATACAAAAGTAGTTTAAATATCATATAGCTTTCAAGCACTAATGCCATACAAAAACTCTAATTTAAAATACAGTAAATCCAAAAGTCTGTATAAAATCCATAGAAGTTTTACAAAAACTTTTAGAGTCTGTTTAAAAAAAAACACAAACAAACAAACTCACAAAAAACCAAAACAACATGAAAAACATTCACCTCAAAATCAGCTATATCTTACAGAGTACCTCAGATTTCTACAGGAAGTCACATTCACACATGCTAAGACGGATCAAGGTAACCTAAAACTATACCTGGAGATATGAAAAAATGAATGTAGGGTTAGAGACATTGAAAAAAAAAATCATTTATCTACATGCAGTCAGTCAACAATTCTTAGGGTCACTTTTTCCTCAGAACCAAGAACATAGCCCTTCTATAGTCTTCCGTTCAAACATCTTAGAGTGTATTACTGAAGAAGAAACATCTTAGAGTGTATTAAAAAAAGATCCTTCAAATAGTCAGTAATTGCTCAGCTTTATACAAACTTTTCACTCCAACTAATGTCTTTTCATCTACAAAATCTTTCTACACTTTCTTGAGAAAAGTGACAGTTTTGTCTAACACAGCTAACCTTAATTCTAGTTTCATCAGGATTTCTATCTACAAAGTTGAGAAATTAAGGACTCTGGTTGTATATATTCACTTTTCAAAAAATATCCTTCCCTGTGATACCACAAGAGATATTAACTCCTTAAGCAATTGGCAATTTAAATTGTCATCAACAGTTTCTAGAGAGTGCTTGAAAGAAAGCATCAGGGATCAATACAGAAAGGCTACAAGAGAAAACACAGGTTTTTTGCAATGTAAGAAATACAGAAAATTCAAGTTTGAATAGCAAAATGAACAGTGGCACAAAAAGCCTGCAGGTTCAGCAGTAGTTTTGACAATTAGGTACTTATTCCAAAGCTTTTTAACAAGAGCACCATTCAACAGAAGAAAAAAAATGAGGAGATAAAGATCCTGCTTGCCATGGATTCAGACAACTCTAAGTTTCAGGTTATTACTAGTAGAACGGTAGTAATTATATGATGCCTGGCACTAAATACAATGGCTATTGGCCTTTTTTACACTTTTTCCAAGTAAATGAACTATCTAGTAAATTAAATCTAGTCAGCAGCAGCAGCTAAACTCTCTATTGAAGTGGCAATGATTATCCACCGTTTTCTTAAAAACAGCCCTTCACCTTCCCTCTTTGACCCATCTGAGGATGCAATGCGAAATCTTGGTTTTTCTTAGCTCTCAGCTTTCAGAAGAACCTGAGCTCTGAAAAACTTCTGGAAGCATCGGAATACCTAAAAAGAAGAAGAATCTAAGGGAATCAAGCCCATCCCTCTGATAAGGGAATATTATGGATAAATAGTAGAATATTTACCATTTTAGTAAAAGAAGAAATTGGGTTTTCACAGCTTGGTACAGGACAGGGATATGAAAAGAGATCAGAAGGCTTCTGCTTATCTCTGAATTATTAAAAATTTAATTTCTTTATAAGTGAAAACTTGCACAGCAAATTTGGGCAGTTTTAAACAAAGACAATACATTTGAATGCAGATAATTTTTATAATATGAAGATAAATAACAAAGTCTAATGAAGAGGAGTTACACAGACTGCATAAATTAGGTTGGGTGGATTGTTTCTAGAAAATTATATCACAAATGTCACAAATGTGACTTCCCAATATATTAAAGCAGTGCCGAAGCCTTGTCTAAGCAGAAGCAGTTTGGACCAGCTGTCCTTCATTATAGGTTTCTAGCTTAGCTGAGGGTTAGACCCTCAAGTCTCTGCTGACAGATGTTTGAGTAATACTTTATTTGGTTGCTTTGCAAGAAAGGGCTGAAATGATTGCCTATGCTGACAGGAATCTTAACATTAACTTGAATTTGCAGTGGTATCTGTTTCTCACAGGTCATCTGATGCAATTTTAGCTATATAGGGAGCTTTGAATGTTCCTGAATTTCATCAGAGACTTCTGTGTGGCCCTAAGGTCTCAGGCAAACAAGTTGTTAAGGTTTAGTACCAAACAGGGCCTCAGAAACCCAAAAGAAAGAGGAAAAAAATGCATAAAGTTTTCATACTAAACAGACATCATGGTTAAGTGAGCTGAGTGGTCAGTTTAAAGGTGTTTATCTTTTTAATGGGAGTCTAAATGTAAAATTATTACCTCTAAGTTAAAGTTGTTATTAAGTACCAAGTAATCAGTTATGTTACACTACTGACAGTATGAAATTCAATTCCCTTTGAAAGATGCTGCATTCAGCTTAAACTTGCAGTTTCTGCAATCATGTGATAAGTATGCTCATTCCCAAGAATCCATCAAGTTTATCTATATTGTCTTTTTGCACTTTTCTGTGACAAATGTCTAATTTTCTTCAAGTAGTATAAATATTAGATATAAAATAGTCTGAGAGGACTCAAAAGAAGTAGCAGAACCTTTCTTCAGCATCCTCACTGCAATGGGATTTTTAGGTGAGAACTTCTGCTTTCAATATTATCCATTAGAGATCACATTTCATATAGACCTAAAACATCAAAAATAACCCAGTGTTTAACCTAAGAAAGGTGAAAAGGATATGAGAAGACAAAATTGGTTTGCCTGGATAAATCAGGAACAAGTAAAGAAAGAGAAGCATATTTATATACAAGTCTATAATTTGGAAAAGGTTCCGGATATCCTGACATTCCTGAATTTTGGGAATTTTTCTTTCAGACAATTCTCTGAAATTTCTAGAGTGACATTTTGATAAGGGTCAAACAACAAAAAGCTGAAGAAAACTTACAAGAAGGCTGTTAGGACAAAAATTTAATTTGCGCTACCCTTTTCACAGACTTGGCTGAGCAGCTACTGTTAGAAAGGTAGAAACATCAAATGCAAATCTATTCATAAATGTTCTAGAGGACGTGGTTGTCTTGTGATATGAAAATTTTGGCTGACAATATTCAGATTGTTAAGATGAGAAATGCTGAAAAAATATTTACTGAGAATACTGAGTGAGAAAAGAATTGCTGAAGTTAAATGCTGACAAACATTAAACAAGATACATGACAATTCTAACTTTGCAGTGATGAATTCTGAGTTGATTCCCTCTATGTAAATACGAGATTCTGGGTATACAGATGTGTCTAGGAGGTGAAATAGCCCCTCTGGAAAATCTTAGAGGTGTTACATTTTGCTATGAAGAAAAATTCAGGTGTCAAACAGAAAACAGAAGACAAGAATGTGCTTTATACACAATTTCAAATTAACACTTCTTCAAATAACATTGACAATTGGAAATACTCATGCTAGTTTCCTGTTGACCTTTTTATGTTCTGCAAGTATTGTTTTCATTCTTGAAGTTTACTATCTATGTATTTTGTCTCTATTGTTTCTCTCCCGTCATGCAAATTATACAAATATAGTCACAATTTCACTAGTCTGCTTATCAATAGCTTCCCAGGGATATTTCCCAGATTTATCTTTTCTAGACCATGACCTCTCTCATGGTTCACATTCTGCAAGAGCCTGCACAATGTCCCCAGTGGTCTACATTTTCAAAAAATTATCCTAAGTGACGTAGCATTTCTACCGATAAAATTGAATGAGGGAACAAGAACAGCACTTTTGCCATGGTACTTGCCTAATCCTGTTTATTTATTCCTTCCATTTCTCCTAGATTCGTTGGTACACAAAACCCACCACAATAATAGCTGTCTCCTTCTGAAATGCAAGGCATAAAAGAAAGTTATTGGCAAGGAAAATACTCACATATTCACCTGATACAGTAATAAACACCATTAACAATTTCTTCTTTACTGAAGGAGAGAAAAATAGATCAGTTTATGTGCAATGCTATTCAAAAAAGATAATGGAAGAGCTTAAAGTAACAGGTATGTTAAAAGCCATATTACAATAATACAGCCAGAAACATTATTTTTGGCATTTCTGAAAGGTCCTGCTTTTGGATTCTTTTTTTTCTTTTTCCACATAATCGTAGAGTAAACTCAGTAAATTCTGTTTATCTTAAATTAAGAGCAGAGTTGATGCTTTTATTTTCAGTTAAAAAAATAATATGAAGATAAAACTAGAAAGGAGAATCAGCTTTAGTACTAGTAGCAGAACCAATGAGCTCAGCCTTCTCTCTTCCTCCAGATATGCAGTACAGACATTAAATTCAAGCAGCAATTTCTGAAGCAGAAAAACATAGCTTCTATTTGTAAAGAAGGAAAACATTAGCAGGTCAAAGGAAAGGAAGTGAAAGGGGAGTAAAACTCCCTTTCAGCTACAAAAGCAGTTCTACTGAACTTACGATAAGGACTCTGGGACATATCTGCTAATAACAATAGCAAGTGAGCTGGAATTAACCGGGCCTATCCACCATTATGTGCAATAATGTATTCAACACTGACATCAGGAAAATCTTTCTTAGATGGGGGGTAGATACTCATTTAGAGGGGCAAGAAATGCAACTCAGTAATTTTTATAGAGATTTTAAGACAATATTCTTGGGTATCTCTTCTTAGATGTTAGAAAAAATTAAATTAGAGGGATTATATCTGCAAAAAAGGCTCAGTGTTACAAATAAGAGCCCACATGAAGAATAAAAAGTAAATATTAAATTGAATTTCTCTTACAAAAAACTCCACATCATTTTGAAGTATTCTCTATATTGCAGACAGCTTTAAAGTTTAAGAACTTAAGCTTTTTACAATAACCTGTATAGATTAACATCTTTATCTGAAGTTCATATTTCTAAATGATTGAGGATTGTTTAGGTGGGGAAGAAGTTCTTTAGTCTTTAATCTTTTCTCAAACACAAAGGCCTGGTTGCACCACTGCTCCATTATTCAAAGTTGTTCTTATCTTCTCCATGACTTACAGAACTGCAGCTAACCTTTTCCCTGATAAGACAACACTAGCTACTGCTATCTGGAAAAAGCAGCAAATGTCAATCTTTTATGAAAAAAAATGTAGCTTAAGCACTAAACTGTTTATATTGTAGTAGGTACGTTTGTGTACATTTACCAATAAACTACACTGAAATAGAAAACATGTATGATGCTTTATATGCTTTATTTGGGATCTATTTGACAGTAAGAGTCAACTTTTTATTCGGTGTAGTGACTAACACTGGAGCAACAAAAAAAGAACGATCCTTCTACAAATTGTCTGATTTAAAAACATCATTTTGAGTGAATAATAGGCTTACTTTACATGGATGTTATTTCTTAAATCACTCCAAAAACAACTTCAGTTTTTAAGATGAAAGC